AAAAAAAAAAAAAAACAGCCAAGAAACTAAATGCTTGAGGTGGCTTGGGGAAGTAGCACCGTGAGCAATGCAGAAATTGTCAGGCCTTCTGAAATGCCCTGGGAGCTTCAGAGCCTCCACATTAAAAGCCGTATTTACTCAATATGAAAAGGAATACTCATTTTTCTACAGTTAGTCCCCAGAACTAGGTAAAGTTCTTTAAACCAAATATTTTATTTCCATTCTGAAAACTGAATCGTTGGTTTTGCCTATGCAACAACCATAATCCCCCTCTTCTTGGAAAGAGTACTTCAGTCATCCTTGCGGAACTGGCCAGGAGTAGGCCCAGGACTGAGATCAAGCCAATTAAAGTCCCACAGTTCCCCCACCCAGTAGCTAGATCAGTGATATGTTAAGAATCTAGACTGGACCACTTGTAGACCCCTCGGGATGGTTCCTAAAACTTCTGGGAAACCAGCAGGGTTGCTAAGCTGCTGGAACATACCCCAGGGGCAGAGTCAGAGTTTACCTATGATTGAAGTAGCCATAGAAGAAAGTAAGAAGCCAGGACAGGAGAAGGCACAAGACATAACAGCATGTGGTCTGCACCTCTAGGTCTACCTGTGCATGAAGCCATTTATCCCCTGGAATTCTCATGCTGTAACCTACAGCAATGTGTGCTTTTGACACCTCCAACTGCAAACCCTGTGCACGACGCACCTGAGAGAACCAGAGGTAGAAAGGCAGCAACAGCCAAACAACAAAAGGACAGAGCATAGGCCCTTCCCTGAACCTCCAATAGGGCCTCAAGTAGGAGTGCAAAGACATCAGCCAGGCTCTCCCCAGCCACAGGTGACCCACAGCCCCAGACCAATCAAGGAAGAACCGCATCCTTCCCAGGAGGGCTCGGCACTCCCTGTGAATGAGGCACCCCCAACCAACGTCTGGGATCATCTGCTCTTTTTTGAGAGTGACTCATGATAGGAATGATAAAATAACAGCTGGATCATCATACATGCAGGGGACAAGCTGGGGGAAAAATTTCTGGCATAGTTGAAAACACAGAATTCAAATGAGAGTAGAGACTGGAAAGAAACTAAACAAAACAGCAAACAGAACAAAACTGGAAAAAAAAAATTCCAAGGCTAGGGTTATGCCCCAGGAGGTAAGAAGTATTCCATAAAAATGTGCTCCAAAGGCTTGAGGAGCTGGGTGGGGAAATTCTTTGCAAATCTAGAGTTCCCTATCATGAGAGACAGAGGCTTTTCGCAGTTCCAAACAGCACAGGTGGGTCTGCAGTGAAGGCACACATCTCTGTACCCCGTGCCTCTGTGCCACCAAGGTGTGGCTGATCGTGTGCTGACAGAAAGATGCTCACCTTTCAGTTGGGGTCTATATCAAGTCCCTAAGGAAACCATGGGAAGTGGCTTTTCACCAGCCATCACTGAAGATCAAGCTCGGCTGTCAGGGAGCTGTCTCTCCACTGCCCTCACCAAACCTAACAATCACAGGTCAATCAACATTGTGAAAACCCAGTCCCAGGCCAGGCGCGGTGGCTCACGCCTGTAATCCCAGCACTTTGGGAGGCCGAGGAGCGCAGATCACGAGGTCAGGAGATCGAGACCATCTTGGCTAACACGGTGAAACCCTGTCTCTACTAAAAACACAAAAAAATTAGCCAGGCGTGGTGGCGGGCGCCTGTAGTCCCAGCTACTCGGGAGACTGAGGCAGGAGAATGGCGTGAACCCAGGAGGAGGAGCTTGCAGTGAGCCGAGATCACGCCACTGAACTCCAGCCTGGGTGGGCAGAGCGAGACTCCATCTCAAAAAAAAAAAAAAAAGAAAAAGAAAAGAAAAGAAAAAAAAAGAAAACCCAGTCCCAATCAATAAATATGGGTGAATTAATTGACCTGAACATCTTCACTTCAGATGGCAGCTCCACCTATGTATGTCTGGCAGCCTCCTATGTTTCTACATGTACTTTATTTTTCTAAAAGCAGATGACAGAGAATGCCTGGGAAAGGGGTACACCCCACCTTTCCCACAGTGTTCCATCAGTGTGGTCCATCAACCAGATATATCAGAACTTCCTGGGAGTCTGTTCAAAAACCCAGTCATTCTGGGGGCAGAGCTGAGGGGCTGCCACTCTCTTAACAAGCCCCCATGGTGATTTCTAGGCATGCTGAAGTCAGTGTCATGGTGTCCACTGCAGGACACTTGAACGTGTGCAATACTCCACAATCCTCAATTCACTGGCTTTATCTTTCCTGAGGTACAGTCCATGAGTGAGGATACATCTCCATCTTCCTACCGGACAAAAGGGTACAACGATCATTACAAGGAGGCCCAGTTGGGGTAGCTGAGACCACAGATCACTTAACCAAACCACACGGGCTCTCCGGAAGACAACAGGCCAGTTAGGACAATATGGACAGTGCCACATTCTTTTCAACAGTCATCATTTCAGCCAAAAGAGAAAAGACTATTATAACTCCATTTCAGCCATGCTAACAATAACTTGAAGTCTAATAACTGTTGCTCATCCCGTAGAGAAATGAAAAGAAAAAAATCCTTTATTTCCCTCATACCAGAAAAACAGTAAGACATCATCTTCATCATCTTCACTAACTGAAGGTGGCTTCCTGTTGGTTAGAGAAATCAAATTTTATATCAGCTGGGCAGGGTGCTACACTCTTGTAGTCCCAGCTACTCAGAAGGCTGAGGCAGGAGGATCACTTGAGCCCAGGAGTTCAAATCTAGCCTAGGCAACCTAGCAAGACCCTGTCTATAAAATGAAGTTTTTTTTTTTTAATAAAAAATTTATCAGTCTCCAAAAAGTGGGCTTAAAAAACCTTTATACTCATATACTTAAAGAATTTTGAAGAAAAACAAACATTTCAGACTTGACTTCTAGATGGTAGAGCAGGAAAAGTTAAACTGCCCATGTGCTTACTTGTCTCCCCTGGCACTTTCTTCTAAGGAAGAAAGATCCCTGCAGGGGTCAGTTAACCTGCTGCCAGGAGGGAGCCAGGAAGGGCTGACTGCATAGGAAGAACCAACCCCTAAGCTGGTCCACGCCACCCTCCCGGGGAGTAGGAGGTCCACCCTCAGGAAGTCACCTAGGCAGCTTCTCCCAGGATCTGAGAGTCACTGAAACAGATACAGCAGAGCTCAAATTAGATGTCACTTGGCCTCCTAGAACTTGATATGTACTTAATTTTCTAAAAGCAGAAGTCAAGTATCAAAACATACACAAGGAATTTAATTTGTTATCAACATGCCCCTACTATTTAGTCTCTGGGAGGAGCAGCTTGTGAGTGCAGACTGCACAGGCAGGTGGGGAAATGCAGTCTTTCTAAAGACTGCGTGAAGAAAAGATGGGGTCTGGAGACCTGGTTTTGGCTGTTCCTGCCAATACAGGAAAACAGGGGTATGCCAAGGAGCTGCACCTCCCCCTCAGTGTACAGGATCAAACACTGTGACTGCACAAAGGGCAGGCAGCAACACTTCATAAAGGCATATGAGAATTCTTGAATGCTCCCCTACCTCTCCTATTCCTCAAAGCAGTCTTACAAATGACCAAATTATGAACAGCATTCTTTTAAAAATCATGCCAAAATGCAAATAACGTGATGTGGCAGAGAGAGGAGATGGGAATCCAGGGACCAGGGTCAATGCTGTGACCGCTCTGTGGCACCAAGAAGCCAGTACCCAGGGTCCTTGCTTCTAAAACCAGATGCTTACTCCAAACCCTTCAGTCCCAAAGGCCCCCATTCTGACCAGTGATTCAATTCCTTGCCATCTCCATGGTGTTATGAGAAACCCAAGCTTCCAATCAGCCCAGCCACAGGTCACCAACTGAGGGAGTGAATCCTAGCCATAGCCAAGCAGCAGATGTTTTTGTTAGGCTGTGGGGCTTCATGGTGGACAAAAAAGTAGCGCTTCCCTTCAGGCTTTGGAAATGTGAAAAGCAGCCTTCAGAACCCTTCCCTCCTCTGAGGATGGCTGCTGTGATCCTTAGGCAGAGATTCCCCATTTCTAACACACTGTGGCTCTGCTAGAGAAAACACTGGCTGATGGGAGACGATGAAGTCAACCGGAGACTGGACACAGCAAACAGGAGCCTTTAATGGCTACTCACCCCCACCACACAGGACAGGCCGAGCTATGAATTACCATTTGATCAGTATAATTTTCCAGCTTGAGACATCTGAAAAACATGCAGAGCTGCATGGGAAAATCTACATTCCCATGATCTCGTGCTTAATTTAGACCTGGCTGGTGGATGTGGTGGTGCTAACTGCTAGGCTGTAGCCATCTCCCGAGGAGCCTGCAAGAGTGTGAAAGGAGGGGCAGTGGATCCCCTCAGGCAGGGCCTGCTGACTTCTGGTTTCAGGCACAGTAGTGACATAATGTATTTTCTCAAAGAGAGCTCCAGAGGCTGGCCAAAGAACAAGTATTTTTACACTGTGCATGTACAAGTGCAAGACCACAGCTGCAAGAAAAACAAGTGGTTTGCTCACCTCTGCCCTCCCATCTGTGCCTCCAGGAGGTCACATCTGACTTCCCACAGCAGCTTGGGAGGAACAAGGCAGATTTCGGAGGTAGTTACTTGCAGAGACTGGTAGCAGTGATGGTTGATGTCCGCTGAGCCTCATCTGAGCAGTACTGAGGGATGGGTGGTGAGCCAGGGTCTTAAGAGACCACAAGAGCAGGCTCACCTCAGCTGAAGCTCAAAGGATGAGCCCCTGCATCCCAGAGGTGGGCCCTGAGGGGTTAACTCTTTATGTGTCACTCACATGCTGCACTCTCGTTTCCAATCACTTTCCCTATGACCGGAACCGGCTCCTGCCTTGCACTCTACCCACCTGCCATTTCCCCCACCTAGCATCCTTCCTCTGTCTGTCACTAGACTGGCTCCTTGTCACTCAGATCACATGGCCTCCTCAAAACCCATCAGGCACTCTCTATCAATGTCACCAGCTGTCTTCTGGAACAGGGCCCCTCCTCTATCTGACATTTCTTACATGCCTGTTTTATCTGTTTCTCTCCTGCCCCCACAAAAACCCCTCTGAGAGCAGGGCCCAGCCTGCCTCTTTGCCACTGTCTAGAACAGTGCCTGGCACATACTGAACCCTCAACAAACACCTTCCATGTGACACACAAGCAAAAAATAAGAACATTGTTAAAGATACCCATTATCTCGCCACTCAGAGACTGCCAGAGTTCACACCTTGAGGCTGTTCTCCCAGTTCCTGTTTCCCTTTTGGTCTCCATCTCTTGAGTTAAAGGGCAGCTGCTGTATTGTCTGCCTAATAATAAACTGCCTGGGAACAGGAACAGCCCTACCAGTGCTTAATACATGCTCCACATGAACCAGCACCTGCCGAAGCCCAGGCACCACAGGGCCTGAGAATCCACTGGATGCCTCTTACAGCTGGACTCAGGAGCAACACCAGGAGCCTGGGCAGCAGCCTAGGGCTGAAATATGTGGTTCTCACTCCGGCCACAGGGATTATGTCCTGCCTTTCCAGCTGCATGGTCTGAGGCAAGCTGAGCTTTCCTGAGCCTCTGTTTCCACACCTCTCAAATGGAGGTAACAGGTGCTGCTCAGCCTGGCTGTGAGGGTTGGTAAGAGTAGGACTGGCAAATAAGAGGTGTCCAAATACCTGCCTCCTTTCCAATGTCCTGCCAAGGTGCGTATGTCTACAGGGATGTTTCTCAGCAGGTTACTGAGGACAGCTCGGCAGCAGATGAAAGCCCACAGAAGTATCCCTATGAGAACACACTGGGTGGGAATCACCTACCAGAGGAGTGGGTGGCATTGTCTACTACAAGCATCTCTCTCCAGACTATACACACAACCTGTTTAAAACCATCACCAATCTTGCTTGTTCTTCTCCTCTACAGCTGGCATTTCCAAGCAAAGTTTCAGATGTGCTCTTTGATACTAGTAACAGAACAGAATTAAAACAGCAGTAAGAAACAGAAGAGGCTCTCTAAGCAGAGGCTGGTGAATACTAATTAGCAGGTCACATGTGTCCACTGATTGAATCTTCGTAACAGTCCTATGGAGGAGTGATTCTTCTTATTCACATCTTACAGAGGAGGAAAGTAAGGTAAAGAGAGGCTAAGTAACTGACCCAAGACCGCACTACCAGCAACTGGTGTGACTAGGATTTGCGCTCAGACTCTGACTTCTGATCCCATCCTCTTCATCCCTATTCTTATTCTCATTCTTTGTAGCTTTAGACAAATTCAGTGCTCAAAATCGTGAGAACAAGGAACTTTCCTTTGCTGAATCTGCAGGCCTAGAAAGGTACCTCTTGTCTAGATGTTTGAGGCCAAAAGATGGCATGGAAACAACTGTTTTCCAACCTCACGTTCTGTGAGCCATAAGAGATTCTTTCCCCAGCCTCTCACCAAGTCAAGCAAGCAGGAGCAAAGATGTTACAGCTAGAAGGGCCTTGGAAGTCAACCACGTGCAGATGCCAGGACCCAGAGTGGTTCAGTGCTAAGCCAGGATAGAACCTGACATTCCCAGCTCCCTTCAGTGCAGTCAGCAAAAAGGAAGAGGCTTTAACGCTATTGAAACAAACTTTTACCTTGAAATGTGGAAAGTTCTACACACTGGCAATACAATGGAGTCAGTCAGGGTCGAGGTCCAAAATAACAACACAGAGACTCTAAAACTATTCTTAAAAACGTGTTCTTCAGAACTCACACCCTTAAGAAATGATGCCTCTTTGGCTATTAACAGTGTCTTCTACTAAATCAGTCACACTGACTTTAACACCCTGAGAAACCTGCACTGTTCCTTTGAAATAGCTGTTGTCATCTGAAATACCACTCAGGAAAAAAAGTCTCTTCATGTTGAAAGGTAAACTTCCTTTTTTGGTGCAGAGTAAAAATACTACTTCCCTCTTTCCTCCTCTGCTGGAGACATTCCCAGTGTTTTATTTACTGTGCAACACTGACTGGATACATTAGGAGGAAATGTTCCTTCCTAACTCTTAAATGTCAGAGTCTACCCCACAAAAGGCATGAGCCAGCCCTAATGTTTTCTTGTTGTTCCTCTGTCTTCTTAAATGTTTTATTATGTAACATTAGGTACATATAAGAGAATATGTGCAAACCACATGTGAGGACAAACAAAATGAGTCCCCATGACTCCACAGCTCCCTCAAGGCCTGGAACATGACCACCATGTCCAGCCACCTGGCCCCCCCTCACTTCCCTCTCCCCACCTCCTTGACCCCCAAGGCAAACAGCCCTGGTACTGGGTTTTCAGTCCCTCACTTTTTAAAAAAAAAACATAACTGTATTGCACACTAGTAAAACTGAACAGTATGCCGTCTTCCTCAGGCTGCCTGTGGCATTCTATACTGCTTCTGAAGTTCTCTCTATTGCTATGCACAGCTAGCTGCCACTCACCCACTGTCACCACTGTGTGCCATGTGATCATGCCAATACTGAACAATGTGCTTACCCGTGTTTCTGTCCATGGACACCTGGGCTATTTCCAGATTTTTGCTACTGTGAAAACTGCTTCTATAGCCATGCATGTCTCCTGGGATACATGGGCCAGTTTTTCTAGAGTCTGTTCCTAGAACAGCTCATTCACAAGATATACAAATTCTCTCTGCAATACATTTTTAAAATATTTTTGCCTGATTTATAACATCGTTTTGTCATCACAAAGATGTATTAAGGCCAGGTGTGGTGGTTCATGCCTATAATCCCAACACTTCTGGGAGTGGGAGACGGAGATGGAGGATCGCTTGAGCCCAGGAGTTTGAGGCTGCAGTGAGCCATGATCATGCCACTTCAACCTGGACAACACAGCAAGACTCTGCCTCAAAAAAAAAGATGTATTCATAGTTTAGTTGACACAGGTTTGACAAGTACTTTTCACACACTCACTGTGTGTCCAGATCCCCATGTCAGCAGCCACAGGGGATCTGGACAAGCACAGATGTGGCATCCTGTCTGGACTGGGGGAGCAACAAAACGACTCCAAACTGGGTGCTCCAGGCAGCTCCTGAGAAGACGAGGACAAAACTGGGGGCCATCAAGGGCACTGCAATGAAGAATGAGAGGGATGAGTGCCTGAGTATGGAAGAGGAGGCCTCTGCGGGCAGAGTGAGAGCTCTCAGTGGGAGATGCCTGCCACTAAGGTAGCTGGGAACACAGAGGCTGCAGCAGGCTGAGGCTGCACCAACAGGGCCTCACTAGGCACACAAGAAATCTGCACTTGCCAACTTGGGTTGTCCACCTTCAAAATTTTTGCCTGCTCCTCCCAAAAGTAACAATGACTAACACAGAGCACCCACTATGTGCAAGCACTGTCCCGGGAATCAGTCCATTCATTCAATTCTTACTATAAAAGCTTCTCAGCCGGGCACGGTGGCTCATGCCTGTAATCCCAGCACTTTGGGAGGCTGAGGTGGGTGGATCACGAGGTCAGGAGTTTGAGACCAGCCTGACCAACATGGTGAAACCTCGTCTCTACTAAAAATACAAAAATTAGCCAGGCGTCGGCCATTGCGCGCCTGTATTCCAGCTACATCAGGAAGACTAAGGCAGATGAGAATCTCTCTGAATCCGGAGCGGGGTTGTAGTGAGCCGAGACCTGCGGCCACTGCACTCCAGCCTGGGCGACAGAGTGGAACTCAGTCTTAAAAAAAAAAAAAAAAAAAAGCTGCTCTACTGTTTGCTTCCTATTTTTGCTTCATATCAGTTTACTTTTAATTCAAATACTTCACCTTTCAGTAACATATATCAAAATCTAGGTATTACTGCTATGGCATATGGGGGATCTTTTTGTTTTTGTTCTTATTGAGATATAATTCACATAGCATTAAATTCACCATCTTTTTTTTTTTTTTTTTTTTTTTGAGACGGAGTTTTGCTCTGTAGCCCCGGGCGTGGGAGGCGTGCCCGTATCTCAGCTCAGGCGAAGCTCCGCCTCCCGGGGTTTACGCCATTCTCACTGCCTCAGGCTCCCCGAGTAGCTGGGACTACAAGCGCCCCGCCACCTCGCCCGGCTAGTTTTTGTATTTTTTAGTAGAGACGGGGTTTCACCGTGTTAGCCAGGATGGTCTCGATCTCCTGACCTCGTGATCCACCTGTCTCGGCCTCCCAAAGTGCTGGGATTACAGGCTTGAGCCACCGCGCCCGGCCTAAATTCACCATCTTAAAGTATACAACTCAGCGGGGGTTTTTTTAGTACATTCACAATGTTGTGCAATCATCACTATTTCACTATTATTCTAAAACATTTTCAACACTCCAAAAATAAGCCCCATATCCATTAGTGGTCACTACTCATGTCCTCACCCCCAGCCCCTGGCAATGATAAATCTACTCTCTATAGATTTGCCTACTCTGGACATTTCATATAAATGAAACCATATAATATATGAACTTTTGTGTCTGGCTTCTTTCACTTACGTGAAAGGTTCAGTCTTTTCTTTTTTTCTTTTTTTTTGAGACAGAGTCTTGCTCTGTTGCCCAGGTTGGAGTGCAGTGGCACGATCTCAGCTTACTGCAACCTCCGCTTCCCGGGTTCATGCCATTCTCCTGCCTCAGCCTCCCGAGTAGCTGGGACTACAGGCGACCGCCACCACGCCTGGCTAATTTTTTTGTATTTTTAGTAGAGACAGGGTTTCACTGTGTTAGCCAGGATGGTCTCGATCTCCTGACCTCGTGATCCACCTGCCTTAGCCTCCCAAAGTGCTGAGATTACAGGCTTGAGCCACCACGCCCAGCAGGTTCAGTGTTTTCAAGGTTCATCCATGTTGCATTATGCACCCAGTATTCTATTACTTTTTATGGCTAAATAATATTCCATTGTATAGATGGACCACATTTTGTTTACTCATTCATTAGTTGATGGATATTCTGGTTGTTTCTAATTTTTTACTATCGTGCCATGAAGATATCAATATATTCATATTCATAATGCTGAGATGTCCATCTATGCAGTGTTTGTGTGGATAAGTTTTCAGTTCTCCTGGGTAAATACTGAGGAGTGAAGCTGATAGGTCATATGGTAACTACACGTTTAACCTTTTCAGGAACTGCCAAAATACTACAGCATTTCTAAGACAAAGATTAAAACTAAGAACATTCAGCTGTATGCCACTTAAAATTATTTTGGGAAATACTGGGGAAGGCAAAGTTACTAAAGTTGATTTTTTATTTTTGTTTGGAGAAGGGAACTCACATTGTCAGGATGGTATTTTTGAATCTTGATCAAGCAGCAGTGGGAGAAAGGATTAGGGCAGAGGCGGGAGGAGGAAGATAGAAAGATGACTGAGAAGCTATACAACATGATGAGCAAAGTCCAGAGCCTGAATCCAGCTGCGGGGGAATGGGAAAGGCAGGCGATGGACATAAACACAGAGTGGGAACATGAACCCTGACAACCAAATGTCAGTGTGGGTGGGGCAGAAGGGGCTGAATAGCCAGGAGGATGGAGGCACCCTTAACAGAAAGGGAAGGTGGAGAGGTTCCAAACGAAGGCAGGAGGCAGCATACTCAGTTTTACTTCAAACAAACATGGCTGGAGGTGCTGACAGGACAGGCCTGGAGAATGAAAACGGCCTAGTGGCAGCTGGTGCCTAGGTCCAGGGCTCAGGAGGGGCACCGTGGCCAACATGTTCATCTCAGAGGAGCATGTGAGAGGACCAAGGGAGAGAGAGAGCAGAGGAAGACGGGGACAAGAATGCAATTAAGGAGGAGGCAAATAGCCATCGGCCAAGTCCAAGAAAGGGCCAAGAGCAGTGGGGGACACAAGAGAACCATCCAGTGCCAGGGAAGCAGAGAACGAAGAGGTCATGCTTTTCTGCCCCATGCAGAGCAGTGCATGCTTGGGAAGTGCCTTCTCCTTCTGATGACCACCAACAAATAGTTCAGACCTTTGTGTGAGACCACATATAACTTCCTAGACATTCTTTTTTTTTTTTTTTTTCTCCTGAGACAGGGTCTCGCTGTCACCCATGATGGAGTACAGTAGCACAGTCATAGCTGATTACAGCCTGGACCTCCCAGGCACAATTGATTCTCTTACCTCAGTCTCCTAAGTACAGGTGTGCACCACCAAGCCCGGCTTATTATTTTTAGCAGAGATGGGGTCTCCCTATGTTGGCCAGGCTGGTCTCAAACTCCTGGGCTCAAGCAATCCTCCTGTCTTGGCCTCCCAAAGTGCTGAGATTGCAAGTGTGAGCCACCATGCCTGGCCACTATACCTTCTTGGTCACTGGTACACACTTCTGCACCATGCCACCCACATTCCCCTCCAGTTTCAGGACAAAACTGAACCCACTGTCCCCAACTCCACACCTGCCCCCTTCTCCTTCCCTCCAGGGATGCTCTGCCCAGGATCCACCACCTGCTGCCCAGCTGACTGAGCCAGAGGCCTTGGAGCTCGCCTGGGCTTCCGGCTTTCCCTCCACCCTCCTTCCTTCCTCCCACGACCTCTGGACTACAGGCTCTCAAGGGACAGAGACCCTGACTGTCTCCTTGTTGCTGCATGCTGGGCCTGGCACAGTGCCTGGCACACATCTGCTGCAAGAATGAATGACTCCACAGGGCACCGAGTCCAGCCCCACCTGCTCACACACTCCCCGCTTTCTCTCTCCCTTCCTCCAAGCTTTCTGATCCTCTCTATACTCTTACCAAACCACAAATGCCCTCACTGAACATAAAACATGGCCTATGAATATTGGTAAGTTTTAAAAGAACTACCTGGCAGAATGAAAAGATCACTGCTCTACCCAGCACCTTTTAGTCACCTCACTGAATCTCAGTTCAGTTTCCTCATTTGTAAAATGGAAATGGCAGCCTGCGAGGATCAGCAAGATAAGGAACATGAGAGGAAATAAGGCCGCACTTTCTGCTTTACTACAGGTTTCCCCACACGCCTCACATGCTTTTGATGGGCCTTCTTCAGGTCCCACTAGTCCTTTGACCATGCCTCTCCAAGAAAAACAAAAATGGGAGCAAGCTGACATCCCAACAGGAGGGGAATTTTTGAGTCTACTTCGCACTAAATTTAACAGCATAAACAAACTGGAGTTCAAATACCATATAATTTTTTTAATTCCTAAAAGATTAGAAGTATGTTACCAAATGTCAAAACACAAAAACCAAAAGGAAATCAAAGTTGTTATTTTCCTTTTGGTTTTATCTCCATTGGCCAAATGCTTTTTGTTCAAACAATGTTTATACTGCCATTGTCCTGCTTTGTTTAGAAAAATAATAATAAAGGGGCCCGTTTCCAGCACTGACAACTGAGTGCGTGTGCAGATCTCCCCAGCTACTCCTATACTCAGAAATTGCTCTACTTTAGAAACTTGTGCCGAGGCCAAGGAAGAACTGTTTACTTGCCCTCCAAATATACACTGGCTACAACTGTGCCCCTAACCCCACTCCTCGCTCCAGCCCCCTCTTTCCTTCAGCCACCACACGGATGACCAGGCCAAGAAAACAGGGATGTTCTTAAGAACATTTATGCCGGGCGCGGTGGCTCACGCCTGTAATCCCAGCACTTTGGGAGGCCGAGGTGGGCGGATCACAAGGTCAGGAGATCGAGACCATGGTGAAACCCCGTCTCTACTAAAAATACAAAAAATGAGCTGGGCGCGGTGGCGGGCGCCTGTAGTTCCAGCTATTCGGGAGGCTGAGGCAGGAGAATGGCGTGAACCCAGGAGGCGGAGCTTGCAGTGAGCCAGGATCGCGCCACTGCACTCCAGCTTGGGCGACAGAGCGAGAC